TATTGAACATGAATTCTCAATATAAATAATCAAACGTTTCGGATCAATTATGAACCCTCTTCAGTGATATAAAAACTCAAGGTTTACAAAAACCAACGCATTACAAGTAAAAGAATTAATTAAAGACATGAATGTTATTCGCAGTATTATAGCTGACAAGACCGTTATCCGACTAATATTAAGAAGTTCAAATTAATACTAGGAAGTAACCGTCACAACTATAAAAAAACCATAAAATAAAATAAAAATAGGTAAGTTTAAAATATAATAAATAATTAAAACAGTCAATATAAATTACCTTTGTTGAGCTCGGCTAAAAGTCAAACTAGTAGAAGACTCTCTACGCGCATTGCTAAGCATAGGAGAATACCAAGGAGTTCTACAGTTGAGTTAACGGCCATACAGGAACACCGTTTGATGAAACACCATGATTTCAATTGGGATCAAGCCAAAGTTTTGCATGAGGAACGTTATTACTTAAAACGCCTGATATCAGAAATGATTTACATTAAATTTCAAAAGCATGGACTTAACTCTAAAAAGGACACAGAACATTTGGGTAACGGCTACTGCAACTTATTATGAAAATAAAACTCTGTTTGTTTCCTTCTCTTCCACGAGTCGTCGCCGCAATGTTAATGCTCGTGTATATAAATCTGTTATTATCTCTATTACTTAAACATGGCGATGTTATCATTGACAGGTTCGTTTCACTTTTAGCCGAGCTTAACAAAGGTAATTTATATTGACTGTTTTAATTATTTATTATATTTTAATCTTACCTATTTTTATTTTATTTTATGGTTTTTTTATAGTTGTGACGGTTACTTCCTAGTATTAATTTGAACTTCTTAATATTAGTCGGATAACGGTCTTGTCAGCTATAATACTGCGAATAACATTCATGTCTTTAATTAATTCTTTTACTTGTAATGCGTTGGTTTTTGTAAACCTTGAGTTTTTATATCACTGAAGAGGGTTCATAATTGATCCGAAACGTTTGATTATTTATATTGAGAATTCATGTTCAATAAATATTGCTCTATTTCCTAACACAAGGAAGTACCCATATGGTACATAGCACTATTAATCCTGTGCTTAAACTTGAATTAGTCCTATTATTTAATTGAGATCATTGTTATTAAGTTCTTATTTTCTTTCTCTAAATTATGATCCTGAGAAGGCTTTGAATATAAACAAATCGGTCAAATTCTAAGATAGGATAATTTTCGAGAAATTTCGAAAAATATATATTCCTATAGTATTCCTCCTTTGGAAAATTTAAATTGTCCTCTAAATATTTCTCGTATCATTGGAAATAAAAAAAATATTTAGATATGTTCTCTGGAACATATCTAAATTTAGATATGCTATGCTGGAACACTCTATGTGTATATGTGTGTGTGTATGTATATATATATATATATATATATATATATATATATATATATATATATATATATATATATATATATATATATATATGTATGTATATTATTAGTATGAATATATGAATATATGTATGTATACATATACATACATATGCACGCACATGCATATGTATATATCTATCTCTATCTCAAGTATCACCTATCTATCTTAGGCGAGACAAATAATCATCCTAACATTCTTCTCTATTAAGAAACAAAGACAGTTACAAGAAAAAACAAAGCAACAATAACAAATATCTATCTTAAGAAACACTTTAAGGAGCATTTCAAGACGCGGGATGCTATGAAATGTATATAAACGCGTGCCTTATACACACAATTTAATATATATGGAAATTAAAAAATTTTTATTACTACTGAAGTATGTACAATACTTCAGGTACAATGCTACAATATTTCACGTTTATGGTGCCTTACCTCGTATGTCGAATTTGTGTGGAAGAACTACTTGAAGAAGTAATTTAAAATTGTCGTCTCAACTGTTTCATCTTGACAGATCATCGCAAACTAGTGACAATAACAGTACATAATGTTGTTATATACGATATGACACGAGACAAGCTAAGCCGTTATATCAACACATGTAAGAAGTGCCTTCAGTCAGTAAACACATGCGTACGAATGACATACTAAAGTGATACACACTCTCCAAGTTTCTTGAAATGAAATTTCACTTGAAAAGTAGAGTGACTATCAAGTCACTCGAATCCGAATTTTACTCATACAGAGTGAATTCTCCACTCTGAGTCGTCAAGTGAATATCTTCACTCGAATTTGGAGAGTGAATCTAATGTATTGCAACAGAAGCGTATTCACTTTAATCAGCTAAAATATTCGTTCATGTGGATTCAGAATCCGTTCTCAGCTTAAACGAAACATTCACTAACGTGATCTTGAGTGGCAGTATTTTCACTATTGCTTTGGGTGAAGATACCATCATCTTTCTTTCGTTTTGAGTGAAAAATTTCGCTCCAAGAAATTTTGAAAGAGCATATATTAATATAATTACTTTCTCTTTAGATATTACTATCAGTCAGATGTATTACTGCATGAATATCATCTATTCGATAGTTGTAGTCAAATTAGTAATTAACACTAGATTTACGGGACAATTTGACAGTAAATTTGACGGGTACCCGGAGAAATAGGTATACGACATAGAGAATTTCAAAATTAGAAGTCTGAAGCGTAAATGAATAATTTTGATATATATTCGTATCATTCTATTAATAAAAGCCAACAAAAATTGCTAGAAAACAATAATAATACTTTCTGTAATTTTACTCGTGAAACCCGAAATCCGTCAACGGACCTCGTAAATCTAGTGTTAAAATCTGTTTTCGAACATATTAAAGTACATATTGAGACTTGTGCAATATTGTTAGTATAATTTATTAAATAAAAAGAACAATTTTCGATATAATATATAGTTTTATCAAAACTGTAAAATTACGTTATTTGACTTATTTTTAGTAAATTCAGTTTATTTTCACAGATAATTTCTTGAGAACGAAGAGATTACTTGGACATTATTCTTTGATATTCGGTCATAATAAAATAAGCACCATATCCTTCTGCACATTTCTTTACTATAACACGATAATTATTGTAACGTAATCAATCAACTTTTCTGTGCCATCCCTTAACACAAAGAAGTACATGTAATAGAAAAGAAGCGGAGCCTCATTAAAACAAGTGCTTTAAAGTTTCAAAGTCTTTACTCTTTATACTTGTGTGCTGCACTTTATACAAAGTGCCAAGATTTGCCATCTCTATATCCATGCAATATAACTAGTCTTTCCACCATAGAAATTCTACGACATACGTAAAGAGAAACAAGAGTTTACGACAGAAATTTGACTTTTGATCGAGCATAAGTGATCGAGCTTATCGTGAGCGACATGAGAAATATGCCCTGAAATGCCTATGTTCTGTGTGTATGTGTGTGATTTCTCCTGTGCTATAATATTAAAGAAAAGTCTAAAATTTTAATTAACGAAGCATTAAAAAATTAACGTGTTATTATCGATTTATTATTTGTATATTAGCATATTGAGATATCAAAATTATTATAATGAAATTATTATTTGTATATTAGCATATTGAGATATCAAAATTGTTATAATGAAAGCAGCTTAATACATACAACGTACACAAGGATAAATAAAATTATTTAAGAAATAAAAGATAATCATTCAGACGGAGAGAGAAGTATTTAGCAACGCATAAAATTTACCTTGTCCAGATGTTTAGTAAAATATATGTGTAAAGTATATGTATAAAGTTAGTAAAGTGCATGTATCGAAGTAGATAATCGAATTAGATTACTGCTATTGTATCCAAAAAGTGTTCTTCGTCGGTATACACGTGCGTTACGAGTGATCTATTGATAGAACGAAACCATATCTGAAATCCTGCTCAAAACAATTTCTTGCAAAAGAATTACTCTACCGCTATTAAACTTTATTTTGAATAATGTAAAATATATAAATAAAGTAGGAGGAAAGAGAGTAAATTAGAACGGGTGTAACTGATTAATGCAGTTGCCAATATTAACTAAAACGATTGAGACAATTTTGAAATATATCGTCAATATTAACACGCAAATTTCTATATTGTTTAAAAATATTTTAAATGATTAATTAATTTACTTTAGTTTACAAAATATTGAAATATTGACTGGTTAATATCGACTTATTATTTGCATATTAGCGAATTGAGATATCTTGATTTCTCATTTGTTATATATATATATATATATATATATATATATATATATATATATATCTGCGTAAAAATTTTATTAATAACTGACAAATCTGTTGAATGTACGCGATATGGCAAGATTTAATTTGATAGCAATAACTGTAATTCTTGTGATTAATAACTTTTAGTCTAGCATCACTTTATCTTTTCATCTTTTATCTCCATTATAGCTTCCTAGCATATCTCTTCTTCTTTACAGTAAAATCTTTCGTAGTTTGCCAGATAAATATTGTATATACAGTGGATTAGTAATAAAAGAATACACAACACATAACATCATACATGTATTTCATATATATAATTTGAACAGAACTGATATATCACGACCACAGAATTAGAGTTACAAATTATTCGCCTTTTAAGATTTCTTCATTTGCATCTAGTTTTGAAAGTTGTTTCGTGTCGTTTTGATATGTTTACTGAATCGGACTACAATAAAACCAATTTATTTCTACATCTTTAAAGGTATTTAAACTTGTCCAAGATTTTCGCCAATTGTTTTCTCCGTGCCGAAATTAAGATTTCAATGTTACACGCTACAGAAGGACCCCAGGATGGAGCTTTATTTTTACTAAAACCTTCTATCTAAAAAGGATAATATTCATATTAATAAACAATAAATAAATTTGAAACGAACAATGTAAGTCATATTTTAACTTGTGTTTTTTCTTTTAGAAAATAATTTAGAGACATCGCGACATAAAAGAGACGTAAATACAAAGATTTTAAATTTAGCAACGTATAAGATTTTACAATTATATGTAAATATTTGAAATTTCTATAGTATAATTGCACGAAAGCTAATGTATGTATAAATTAAAATTATAATTTATTACAAACCAAATGGAAATCATATAAATACAGAAGAACTAAATATTACAGCAGTCAGGTTTAAATAATATAATTCAATTTTATGAATGCATTTTTAGCAATTACATAATTGATAGTATATTTTAATAACGTGATAGTATATTTTTAAGGATTTAATAGCTATATGTCTGAAACTATATTGTTGTATCAGCAATACATAAAATGTCTGGAATTTCCTAATGTATGAATTTATTTAAATCGTATGGGAAGAAAGCAATTGACTTTCATAAATGTAATTCAAATTTAAATTGTAGTGTTTATATTATTCCGAGCAGTGCGCATAAAGCGTTGAATCAATGTGGAATCTATAGCGGTCAATATAGAATCTCTCTGTCTATGACGGTCAACCGTTGGTCAACTAATATCTCTTCATACGAAAGAATAAAAGAATATCCGATTATTATTTATGAATCAAAACTGTCACTTATATAACTACCTTTTGTCGAGATATATTTAAATTATTTTAATTAAAACATCTAATCCAAATTTATGCGACATACATATGAATAAATAAAAATAATGAAGAAATTTAAGCATGTTAATAAATCAATGTAAAAGTTACCATGCTGAGATGTTCGGGATAATACGAATTCATGATAAGTTCACCAAGTAGTTCAATGTCACTTATATTCAACCTGTAATTAAAAATGTAATTAAAAAATATTCAATTCGTTATTACCAGGTGCAATTCAATTCGCGATGGTAAATAGTTTACAGTATGTGTATTGAAGAATACCTCTTTTTTATGTCTTCATAATTACTTATGACATAAAAAACTACGATATATTTCTTTCCATTCTGCTTTACAATAGAACGATAAACATCTTTTATATTTAAACGTGGATTCTTTCCAAAATCTGTGGTCACCAATGAAAGCAAATGAGATAAGATAACGGTATCGTTGTTGGCACAATGCAAGTAGTGCAAAAGTTCCGAATTAGTATTGGCAATGCTTTCCTTCTTAATTTTCTCCCAAAATCTCATGTTTACTCTCATCATACCCGTACAGAATACCCAGTCCTTCAACCATAAGCGCAATTCATGATCTTGTCTAAAAGTAAAAGTGATTAAATTGGACTGAACTTGTAGTCATTTTCAAACAATCACCTTTTCTATTATTCTAATGAAAACCTAATAATTTCAGTAATATTACAATAAATTATTTTCATAAACTGGTATAGTGGTACTTGCTATAAAAATAATTTTTCTAATGATTACTTTATTACGTAATTATACTGCTTAAAAGAAATTAGATAAGAGGACTGGTAGAAATATATATAAATTTTATTGAAATATTATGATATATATATATATATATATATATATATATATATATATATATATAT